GAGAGCAAAAAACAAATAACTTGTCAAGTCTATGAACGATTAAACTTTAGCGCTCCTATCAACTGAATGTTTTTATTTAAAAGAATATCCCTTATTTTGTGCAACATTTTTGTTTCTATGATTTTTGAAAGGTTATCATTTTTCAAGTCCATCAAATAAGTGGTTGTTGTTTTCAGGATAAACTAACCTGATTTGTTTCCTTCAACGTCCATTGGATTATGAAATGATATTTGCGGTTCAAATTATGCAGGTGGCCGCATGGTGTAATTTCCCCAGTTTCATTGTCTTTAAGCTTTATTTAAAAATCCAACGAATATCGTAATCATATACACTTAAAATTACTAAACTGGATTCATACGAAGTATTGAACAATAAAATTTAAAAATATTACTCAGCTGTTTTGAACAAATGGTATTTTTGTCACTTTTATCTCATCAATTTTTATGTTTGATTGTTGTGATATACTTTCATATAAAAAATGTTGAACCATTTGGTTTATTCAAGACAAAATCTAGTAAGCAATTAATTTACCCTTGAATGTTTATTCATTTTAAGCGTTCTTGTTGTTGTTGTTGTAGTCCGAAACAATTAATTTGATGAGTTTACTTTTGTAAACAGCTTATAATCAATAAACCCATATGAATAAAAACTCATTAATGATTGTTCATGGTGTCTAGAAATATGACACGAGAATAGAGTTTCATCAATTTTTATATGCACAGAATATTGTCTTGTCTAATTATATGGGTCCATGTAAACAATAAGTGACATCAAAGCATATGCTGTGAAGTTATTATTTCCGAGTACTAAAGAATGGGGTAAAAGTAACTACTATTACGTTTTATTTGTCTTGTATGTCATTCTTAGCCTATTTCAAACAACCTGTATCACTACAGTGCATATATATATGTATATATATATATATATACATGCAGAGAAACCGAAGAATAATGAATATTTTACAGTTATTGTTGACAGTTTTACACAGTTTCAATATTTCACCACTCTTATAGTTCAACACAAATATCAGATAATACATTATTCGTCATCTAAAGTATAACATTTAATTTTGTTTCATATTAATTACAGACGTATATCGTTAAGATATCATGGTTGATCAATTAATCAAATCGTTCCTGAGATTGATTTCTTTGCAAATTTACACAAATCGGTCTTCATCATTATGTGAAGGAAAATACTAAATTATTCACTAAAATAAAATAACGATCCCCCCAATAATGTAATGCAAAAATCAAAAATCTGCTCATTAGTGACTAGCTTCATGAAGAAATTTTTCGGAGTTCTAGTGAGAAGACGTGACCAATCGAGTTCAACCCTGTCGGGTGTAGGCAGTTACTAACGAAGAAAAATGGGTGTGGTGATGAGAAATCCGTAGATTGATTAGAGTTAGACATTAATGCAGTTGGATGCCAACTCCGTTGTCTAGAGTTCAAGCGTTCGTGAGCAAGACCGAAGATTCTGGGTTTGAACCAACGAGTTACAGGACTCATGGATGCGCACTGCTGATGAGTCTCATACCAGAACGAAACGGTCGTCCAGTGCTTCCAGGGTTCCAACTATGGTCTAACGATGACTCATTCATGATTTCAAACTAAAATAAAACTTTATCTAATAACAGTTTATCATTAATTAGAACTAGTCAGAATAGAAAAATTTTCACTGAGAATTATATCATGAAATTAATTTAAAACAGAAACTTATGAACTGACATTGAAAATTACTATGATAAATTAAGTAATATCATTTGTAGGAGAAAATAAATCACGAATAAATCGTTTTCTCATTCAAGAGTGTATACAATGTCGAATATTAGTTGATCATGATAATTCAAGTATTCTTATTTGGAACTCAAACTCATGCCATCGAATTAGTCGCTTCCTCAGGTAGTGATGATTGTAATTCAGAAGATTAATCAGAATGTCATGAATAAAATTGAAGAAGTTATATTCGTATATCGACTCCAAATGTATCCTTTAAGTTAAGAGAGCAATTCCGAAAAACGTTCAGTTATGAAAACAAAACCTAATCGATGTGTTTGATGTCTGAACACCAAAATATAAGTTAATTCTTAGTAGTACCGAATGAGGAAATATCGAAATTAAGTTAACTAAGTAGTCAGAGCATCTTATGAAACAATGTTTACCAAATATAGTATACAGCTTTTGTGATTAACTGTAAAGGTTTTAATATTTAACTTCATCAATTATGGCTCTGAATGAAAGAAATGTAAAATCACATAAGTAACTCTAAAATCATGAACCGGTCAATGTCAGATCACCACTAGAAACGTAGAAGTGTTGGACAGCCGTTTAGTCCTGGTATGTGACTCATCGAAGACAGTGAATGATGTTGTGCAAGTTTGTGGATTCATCGAGATGAGATATTATCACCGTTAGATGCCGGTTCAGTGGTCCATAGGTTAGGCGTTCGTGTGAAAGATCAAAGGTTCTGGTCTTAAATCCTGAGAGCAGCAGCAGTTGCAGATGAGTACTATCGATGAGTCACATACTAAGACGAGACGGTCGTCCAGTGTTTCCAAGTTTCTAATGGTGGCTTACTGATGATTCATTTGTGATTTCAAAATAACTCAACAATCTCCACAACCTCATAATGAAAATAAGTAAGACGAATTTTCTTATCAATTACATAAAACACTATTGATGTGCTCTGATCAAAATGAAATCTACTAGCAAAATTTCTCGAAAGTCACCTTTAAAGATTAAACAGTAAAATATGCATTTCAGTTTATTGCTTCCCTGTGATCGAAAATTATTCTAAACTGTGACCTCGTTGCTCTCATGAATCTACATACTTTAAAATTTTAGTTCGCAGAACATAAAATTTGTTTTTAGATTGAACGTTTTCATAATTGGAAATTCTTGTAAGATTTTAATCACTTAATCCTGTGTATTGTAAAGATTTTTATATGATTCGAAGATAAAATCTGCTATGAACTGTCATCGTAGATTGAAACTGCTCATAGGTTTGTATCCATAACACATCAATGAATCTGAGTTAGAATCTCCATACCATTGCTCAAAGTAAGTGTGATGTCTTTAGGTAACTAACTTGGATAATAATGGACCATGTTTTCGATCAAAGTCAGTTTATAATGTTGAGTAAACATCATCCGATGTAATTTATAAGGTCTTGTCCCATTTTCTACTTAGTTAACTTGAATTCTAGCTAGAATGTAAGTGCTTATTATTCAAGATTTGAAATGTGTAACTTAACAATCTTCACAATCCCGTAATGCAATTATCTGTGCTCACTAGTGACTAACTCCGTGAGGAATCTTCTCCGAGTTCTAGTGGGAAGTCGTGACCGGTGAAGTTCGACTTGTTCGGGTGTAGACAGTAACTACGGAAGACTGTGTATGAGGTTACATAACTCCGTGAATTGATTGAAGCTAGACATTAACACAGTTAGATTCCGACTCAGTGGTCCAAAGGTTAGGCGTTCACGCGCAAGGTCCTGGTTTCAAATCCTACGAGGTCAGGAGTCGTGGATGCACACTACTGATGAGTCTCATACCAGGACGAAAGGGCCTTCCAGTGCTTCTAGGTCTCTAATGGTGGTCTAACATTAATCGATTCATGATTTCAATTATTGTTTAATGGAGTTATTTATACAATTTAACGATAATTTAGATTTACAGAATGATTGTTTTTTATATTTTCAACAAATTTATAATTTAAGAATATTAAAGATGCCCACTGTGGAAATTAGAACAACATATATAAAAACCGAACAATATTGTTTTCGATTAGATCGTCATCAGGCTTTACTCACTAACATACATCAATATTTGTATGAAACTATTAAAACAGTGAAGGCAATTTAAGAGTCAATAATCACAATGAAATGAAATAGATTAGGTCACTCTGCATATCGTAGGCAAACGTACAAGTTGATAGAAGGAAGACAGGTGTACTGATAGTAAGTAAGACAATCACAAAACACGATAACAAAAGTTTTCGATCAAAAGCTCAACACTGGAGGACAGTAGGTCAAACGTTTTCATGTAAATCATTCATGTGTATATTAGAGTAAAGCTTGATGACGATCTAATCGAAAACAATAGTGTTCGCTTATATGTATGTTGTTCTAAATTTTTATAATTTCCATTCAAACAAAGAACAAAATTTAAAGACAAGTTTACATTTATATATATATAACCTAATACTTGAATGCCTTCTGTTATATCATCAAGTTTGTTTATTGTTCATATTTCCTATAACATTTAATGTACACACACATTTACGTTTGTATAGTTTGAAAATAAATTTACTGTAGACAGAGGCATCTTAACATAATTCTGCGTCTTTTAACCATCGTTAATAAATGTCACTAGTTTCTCCGACATATAAAACCATGTTAGTTTCCGGTGTTTAAAAAAAAACAAAAACAGAAACAATATAAAATAATCATAATAATAAGTGAAAATCCCTAAATAGGCACAAACAAAAATACATAAAACAAACTAGAGAGAAAATTCTTTCCCATTCATTCAGTTTAATTGGGTAGGAAATATTTCTCAGGTGAAGACAATTTTGACGAAGATGATGATGTTGATGATGATGGTGAGGAGGAGGAGGAGGCAGATAGTATGAAGATGGTGACAGTGGTGAATGGGGAAGAAAACAAATTAGTACAGATCTAACTGAAAAAGAAAATTTTAAACTGACATGAAATTAACTACTATTTGATAAATAAGCCAATTACGCGACTAATTTAACCATAGAATAATTAACCAATAGGAAGACAAGTTATTTTATCATTTCATCCCTAATAATTAGTTCTAAATAGAGATGAAAATTAACTTTTAATATTATTGTGATCAAAAAGACGAAGAAAGAGTAAATTTAGAAAATTTCCTTCAAAAAATAGATTACATTAGATTGTGGAAGTTGAATTCTTTTCAAAATTCTAAATTCAAAGTGATTATTCGTTTTTATTATTCAAATTAAAACAAAATTATGTCTGGATTTTCAGTAGCTGATTTAATCAAACCCACTCTAGAAACATTGAATTCATCTGAAGAAAATGAATTCATTAAAGAAACTAAGAAAAGAAATATCGATGAAAAGATACCTTGTCAAAATATCAATATCAGCTATAATAAACATGACCGATTAATTAATATTGATACATTGAACACATTTGAACAAAATCAACATTTAATGCACAAAATAAATCCAATCAAAAATGATAATGTTAAAAAAAGTAGAATTGAAATTAATTACACTACTAAATTATCTAATCAGACTACTAATGAGAGTTTAATGAATAGTTCAGAAATTATAACAACTTCATTACAATCTAATTCACAAATAAAGTTGAATGCAAATAATGTCATCAACAGTAATGAGAATAATCATAAAACTACTGATACAATTCCCCAGTTGTCTTCTCCAACTTTATCTAAACAATCTTTTAATTCTGTCAGTAATTTATCAAAAGAAGAACTAACTATTCAGTCAATAATTAAAACAAATTTAAAAGAATCATTCTTTCCAAAATCATCTCAATCAATCCTAATGAATGATTTAACTTTACTGCCAAATGTAATTTCTTCTCCACCAACAACATCATCATCATCATCTCCTTTATTTTCATTTACAAATTCTACACCTATTGAGTCGAATTCAGAGGAACAATTACAAATTTTATTAAAATTACACAATTTATTCGGTATAACTAGTACAAATAAATCTATTTTAAATAATATAAACTTAACAAATTCTATACCAGTAGAGAATAGTCTGAATGATCGATTTTTTCTCAATAATATTGTCACAAATTCAAATTCAAGTACACTAGGACAAAATAATGCTGAAGTTATTGTACCATTGAATTCATCTTACATGATGTCTATAATGATGAATCATATTTTAAATAAAGAACCATTGGAAGATTTAAATTTCGCGGTTCCACCATCTTCTTTATATTATCAACCTTATTTACCATATTCACATCATCAAACGTCTGCTGAACAACAGCAACAACAGCCACAGTCAAAACAGCATGAACCACAACAGTTACGTCATCAACAATTGAATGAATTGAATTCATCAGAACTAACAGAATTAAGTCGAAATCGTTTGATAGCGAATTTTTTGAAATCACGTTTTTTATGGGATAGTAATAATAATTGTGAACAAAATATTTTTCATGATTTCAATGAAATCGCTAATAAATTTGATCATTCAAATATAACGTTGAGTAATTATGGTAAGTTCGTGAATAATGTACTTTTGTTTCAGTCGAAATATTTCAGCCTATATATTTATATATATGTACATTTGTAACCATGAATTGATCATTGTTAGACCACCATTAGAAACCTGGAAGCACTGGACGGCCGTTTCGTCCTGGTATGGGACTCATCAGCAGTGCTCATCCATGACTCCTGCACCCCACAGGATTCGAACCCAGGACTTTCGGTATTGTGCCCGAACGCCCCTAATTTATGTATATATTAGGACTAGTAATGCCAATCAAATCCATAAAACAGAGGTAGGTAGACTAGATCTTGAACACATAGATCATTGATTCACATGAAAGCAATCTAAGCAATACATTATCGCTTAACAAACAACGCAATAAACGGAAAACATGAAATCAGAATATATACTTTCTGCTTATATTCGTTCCTAATGAACATATGGAATTTCGATAATTTCGATTCAAACTGCACACAGATTTTCGGTCTCTTTCAAACATTCAAATTTAAACCAATCATTATCAAATTACTAGAGACAACTACTATAGCTTTGAAGTAAAAATCACTTTCCGTATACAACAAGTGTAGATGATTGTAGTTTTGAAATATTAGTGGAGAGAATATTGATTATTGATTGTCGTAAGTTGAAGCCGAATTTCGAATTTCAATATCTGACTAGAATATTATAGATTTCCATTATTTTTCTGTTAAACAATTTACATTGATGTACGAATATTTAAATGAGATTGGTAAAAGCTGCTGTGTAGGTGAAAACAAGTGTGTGTGTGTATGTGTGTGTGGGTGGGTGTGTGTACTATCCGACACAAACCTCATGAATTAATAGACAATTTACTAGCTTTCAAATCCCTTATGAGTGTTTACCCCTTATCTTCGTATAGGAATTGTACTCAACCAGTTAAGTATTATTTCTTTAGAGAGGTGAATGGTCAAAATTAGTTTTATTTACGTTATCACTTGTAGAAATATAGAATACTCAACTACTTGTCGTCAAAATTAAACACAACCATCTTAAAAATAATTGATACCAAGGAATAAATTACTGTTTATATTATTTTATTTGATTGATAAGTAAAGAACTAACTTCTGATGACAGTTTTGATTATAACAGCTCACAAAAAATGTATTTTCTTCAAAAGTGTGTATTATGGTGAGAAAATGTTAAGTTACAATGTCTTCAATAGTGACCAGTTTCGTGAAGAAATTCTCGGAGTTCTAGTCAAACCTTGTCGGATGTAAGCAGTAATTGCCAAAGACAAAGATAGCGCAAAATCCGCAGACTGATCAGAGTTAGACATTAACACCGCTAGATACTGGCCTAGTGTCCAGAGGTTAGGCGTTCACGCGCAAGACTGAAGGTCCTAGGTTCGAATCCTGCGGGGTGCAGGAGTCGTGGCTGCACACTTCTAGTGAGTCCCATGTTTGAACGAAACGGCCGTCCAGTACTTCCAGGTTTCTAATGGTGGTACTCTAACATTGGTCGATTCATGATTTTAATGTGCCAAAACACTAATCTCTATAATTCTAATTGAAAAAAATGAACTATTTCAGCATTTACCAGATTTTAACAATTTTCCAAGTTATATAAAGTCATCATGAAAGTTGACAACAAATAATTTCTAGTTCATTGTTAATATAATCGGTTTCCATGGCTTACAACTTATGTAATGACATAATTTTATTTGTGATAACTTTAATTATTAGTAAGAAAATATTCTTTAATGTGGTTGGAAATTAGTTACATGACTTTTAATGATGGTGTTTAATTTTCTAATTATCAATCTTAATAGTTATTGTTACTTTATTGTCTGTTAGCAACCTCATTTTGATATTTGCTCCAGTTATATTGAGAATTACATACATTTGTAATTATAAGGTTGTGGAGATTGTCGAGCTCAATTGAAATCATGAATCGATCAATGTTAGATCACCATTAGTAACCTGGAAGCATTTGATGGCCGTTTCGTTCTAGTATGGGACTCATCAGCAGTACGTACTCGCGACCCCTGTTCGCAGGAATAGAACCCAGGACCTTCGGTCTTGAGTGAAGACTCTTGAACTATAGACCACCGAGCTGGCATCCAATGGTGTTCATGTCTGACTTCGATCAGTCCACATTATTGCGCAACCTCATTCACTGTCTTCGATGAGTCCCGTACTCGGACGAAACGGCCATTCAGCGTATACATATATATTTTTTAGCTTCAGAAATGCTTAGCTAACCGATTCTTTTATTCTTATGGTTAACTGAAACATAAAAACTACTATTAAGGTGTATGTCGAAGCAGTATTATGTATCTATGGATAAATATTTTCATGCAAACAAATTGATAATTATGCAATTCAACAATTACGCTTTTTGAAAATTTTGAAAATTATAAGTTCACCAAATGAAGAAACAGTATTGAACAGAAGATTAATCACCAGTAATTTCATCATAGTTTACGATATGAAACTAATTGCCATTCAAAAAATATTATTGCTAATTGTAAAAATTGTATACTTGATTGTACTTATCCTAAGATGGATATGAAAACGAGAAATTTGTACAGTGAATATTATTTTACTAACAATATACTCGAATAATCATTTGATCATTAATTTAGATCAACGTTTGAATGTGGTTATTGCCAAAAAGAATTTCCGTTTCTCAGCACGCCACATTTTTGTTTATTATGCAAAAACAGTTTATATCAAGACATATTAAGATATTCTGATCACACTGAAATCAGTCAAAATATTTTTTAATATTGATAGTTAAAACAAGAAGAAACAAGCCAGAGTTATGAGGAATTATAGTCTTTGTGATTTTTATCATTTTATGATGGTATATATGGATCTTGAGCATATTGCCTTAATATTGTCTTTTATTTGAAGTTTACTTTCATGTTTCGATTGCCAACAGCCATGGAAATGGATGATATTTAAAGTCATAGGAAACGGGTTCGTGTCTCAGTGATAAAACTGACACTGGAATGCAAATGCATCCAGCTGTCAAGTCCTAAATACGATGAAAAACATATCTGCAATTCCATTGCTATCTACAACCCAAAATATATGAATCAGCGAGTGTATTTATATTTGTCAGTTAGGGTGACACACTGACAATAGTCATTTCACCCTAATACACACCCACGTCAGTGAAGAAGAAGAACATGAAATTTTAGACAAACATATTCTTGAGAATGTGAATCACTAAAGTCACATATACATATTTTTATGTTAGAAATAGAAAGTGGTCAGTGCAACACCAAAACTGAATTAGTGCATCAATCATTTACTATTTGTGTAAAAAAATTCTCTACACACTGATTAAAAGTAATTTGTGTCAAACGCAAAATCTCCCCAAGCGAGAATAAGATATATGACTATAGCAGGAAATAATTAACGGTAAGGTTAACTTCTATCTGAAGTTTGTGCTGATGATGTTGTTCAGAAGAACAATGAAACATCCACAACCAAAACATCCAGCTCAGAGGACGAAACACCACCACAAGGTTAACTTTCACATATTAAACTATGAAATTGAATTAGTCATTAAAAGAATTCTTGGAATGTTGTTAGAAAAACAACAGATTATCAATAGCTTAAAAGAATTCAAAAACAAAATTGTAAATTCACTTTGTCATGCGAAACAATATAACTTGAGCTTAACCTAAAAATTTCATACAAATCCAGTTCTGTTTCGTTACAAACTTATCGAATTCGGTAGATAGTACTGAAATCTCTTAAGATACACTTTCGAAATCACCAATCAATCATTATTAGACCACACCATTAGAAACCTGGAAGTACTGGACGGCTGTTTCGTCCTGGTATGGGACTCATCAGCACGACTCTTGCACCTCACTTGCACCCAGCACCTTCAGTCTTACACACAAACGCCTAACCCCTGGACCACTAGACCGGCATCTAACAAAGTTAATGTCTAACTCTGATCAATCTGCGGGTTTTGCGCGTCCTCACCAATTTGTCTTTGTCAGTTACTGCCTCCACCCGACAGGGTTGAACTCCACTGGTCATGTCTTCTCACTAGAACTCCAAAAAATTTCCTCACCAAGCTAGTCACTAACTAGTAAGCACATCTTATGATTTTTATAATTAGAGTTTCTTAAATATTAATTCATATATATCACCTTACTAAGGAATTATCATGAGTCAGTTAACTAATAAGTTTGTATATTTCAAGAAAATTTCAATACAAATCAATCATTATTTAAGTATGCTTTGTTTAATGAAAAGAAAATACCTTCCAGATATATGTAGATTTACATAAAACAATTTCTTTCTGTCTTCTAGTTCACAGGTTATTCCTCTGTAGTATTATTACTATTATTATTATTATTATAGTTAACATGATGATGTATGCATGTATGTAAGTAAGTGAATGATGTTTTATAACAATTGTCTTACAAGTTCATACAACATGAATAGACTTGTTAAGTTAAGAAAAAAAAATACAAAGATATCATTTAACATTGTCACCAAGTGCATCTCTCTTCTTCTTCTTGCTTTATTTATTGGAAAAAACAAAAGACAGTTTTAAACGGGAAAAAAAAGAAGTAGATGAATTTTAATTGAATTCTGTACATAATTTATTTTACTTTCGCGCGCCCGTCTCTTCTTGATATGTTTGCTCTTGTATGGATATATTGTCAATCAGTTAAAAGTGTTTTTACTCAATAAAATACTATTTACTATTCATAACTACCTAATTATCTCCTATGTACAATAAAAGAAAAAACACACAGTTAGAAAAATTAAACATGCCTGTAAGCAAATTCAATGAAAAAGAAAATTTCCATTCATGATGATAATGAGAAGAATCATTTGAACAAAAAAATAAATTGATCTCATTCCAATCCAAATGATCGATCCGCGTGAGTACAGAAACTTACCTCAGGTGGATAAGTGTGTGTTGGGTGTTTCGTTCTCTGAGCTGGATATCCAGCTATTCCTATTATTATTATTATTATTGTTATTATTATTA